TTCATATCTAATGTGAAACTATTTTCCCACTTACTCACACTTATATTATTCTTCTAACAACTGTCACAAAAGCTACTATATTAACATATTATATCTACCAAAGTTTGAGATAGAATCCAAAAGTTCATAATCCAAGATAGAATCTAAGATTGTAGGATTGTAAAAAACTAACATAAATGTATTTGTTATTGTTAGGTTAAAAACCTATAGAGAGAGTCAAGCCACTAATACAACGTACCAATACACAAAACAAAACTCATTCATCACGAAGAACGACATAATGCTAAGAGTTTATTTTACCAAATTTAATCACTTGACTTCTTTTCCAAATCTAGAAGTAAGAAGTGCCATGAATCTCTTGAATTTCTAGAAAATCACCACACCTTGATGTTGCAAACAGTATTCCTCATACTTCTTCCTATAACAACAAAAATCATCAAACACAATGTTGGTGAGAAGCATGATAAAACTGAAATAACTCATAAAACTCTAAAATAGATTATGTCAAGGAAAAAATGATTTTTGAAGAAGTTTGTTTTAGAGCGATATTTACACAAAATATAAAGTGATATTTACGAAATATCACATGGACAAAGCATGCCAAACTATAATAAAGAAACGTACAAATGAGGCTGAAGCATGATAAAAATACAAAAATAGAAAAACAAAATTACATTAAACTGTATAGAAGCATCAACCACCATCACCCACGATGTCGTTAGCAACAAATCTGAATTGTTTTTGGAAGATATAGCTTGTGGCGAAAATCCTTGTAAGTATCACTACGATTTAAAAATTGATGCCGTGAATCATCAATTATTTCTCTTCGCTCAAAGAAAAAAGAAAAAGAGGAAGAGGGAAGTAGACGAAGAGTATCAGGGGAGAATGGAATAACATATTTTGAAGATCAAACTTGTTGTCAGAGTAAAAGAAGAAGAGGAAGAGAGATGAAAAAACAGAAGAGAGAAAGAAGGAAAATATGCTGAGAATAATTTGAATTTCAAAAATAGACATTAGTATAAGAAAACAATTTTAATTGGAAATGTAAATACTGCAAAGCACTTTTCAAATGTAACCAGAAGCTCTATTTGGTTGACATTTAGTTCATTTAGACTCAATTTGCCTCCAAAAAATGAGATGTGGCACCAAACGAAGAAAAGGTAGATTTGTCAATTCCAGAACAACAACCTTTCTTATAATATAGATATGCGGTTTTCTCCCTAAACTCATAGAAGCTCTATTTGATTTGTCACACTTTTTTTTTATACAATTTTTAGTTGTTTTGCTTTACAATGAAATTTACTACAATAGATGACATTAATATAAATAATCAATAGTAAAAATATTGTATTATACAATAACATTATGCATATGTATCTTCTAATAATGAAACGAAAAAAATATCATTTTTCTTAAGTATACTTACTCTTTCTCAATCTCAAATATAAGCATTAATTTGACACAAAAAAACATATTTAAATATAAGTCAATTTTTAAATTACTAAATACAATTTTTTATTTATTTTCAATAAACCTCTAATTAATACTCTAAATGTCTTTGAATGTGATGAAAAGTCCAAAGAAACGGAAAAATTATCTGTAAATTATTTAAAAAAAGAATAAAATAAATAAAAAGTACTTATGTTTAGACACAAGAAAAGAAAAGGTTTCCACTTGAGCTTTATTTGGAAGCTAGTGGAAGAGGAAGTATTATTACTATGCCAAATCCACTTATCTTTCAATAATTAATTGCATGATTAACACGTGCATTTATTAATACTGTTGCTTTTTCACAAAAGAGAAAACAGCTAGAAGTTGGAAATAAGAAGAAAACTTTTACTTTTTTTGTGTACAACCAATTGAGTACAATTTCCGGCAAACCCCCACTAGCAATTAGGCACAAACAGCTCAATTGCTATGTGTGAATGAAATATCACAGGTCATTTTCCAATTCAATATACTCTTTTGGGACACATGCATTTAAACATGTTGTATAGTCCTAGCAAGGTTTTAAAAGCCGCAACAAAATGGAATTGGAATGTGATATTAATACCGATATTTATTGTTTTTTAATGAAAAAGAAAGCATGGTTAATTCACACTATGATGATCACAATTAGTATCTAATAATATTTATACTAACTGAAATCGCGAAAGGCTTTACACTATCGCAAAGTGACACAATTATTTAAAACCTTGAGTACTAGTATATATAGTGTCTCTTAGAAGGGAATTAGAAGTATACCCTATTTATTAATGAATATGAAGAAGAAACCAATAATCCTTTTGGTTCCTTATCCTGCACAGGGACATGTTAATCCCATGCAAAATCTAGCCTCATCTTTTATAGCTCAAGGATTTGAAACCTTGATGATCCTCCCTCAACATGTTCACAAGAAGGTTAACGTTGATAATGATAAGATTGTTAAGTGTAAGTGTGTTGGTTTAGCAGATGGGATTGAAGAGGAAACAACACCACTTGATTTCTTTGCCATTGAGTCCTCCATGGAGAACATAATGCCAAAACATTTGGAAGAGTTTCTTCAAAATAATGAAAGGCTTGGTGAAGTGTGTTTGATGGTTGTTGATTTGTTGGCATCTTGGGCCATACAAGTGGCTGGGAAGTTTGGGATCGCTACTGTTGGGTTTTGGCCAGCAATGCTTGCATCTTATCTTTTGATTGAAGCCATACCTCAGATGCTTAGGACTGGACTCATATCTGATACAGGTTTATTTTCTTCTCTAACGTCATATCCTCCTTCCATAACCCCCGGGGATCGGTCAGTTTGTGAAAGCATGAGACATTTGAGTGTGCTCCTCTCGAGGTCTCTGGTTCAAATCACGTTAGGTGTTAACAATCTTTGTGCTGAACAAATCCATAGAGTTTATCTGATCCCCTTGGATTAGTCGGCCTTAAAGCCGAATACCAAGTTTTCAAGAGAAAAAATCTTCCACAATGTGTTATATCATTTGAATTTAGTTTGTAAACTATCAATTACATTTCATTTCTTTTCGGTGTGGTTTAATAGTTTGGTTTAGTACAATTCAATTTGGTTTAGTTTTTGATTATTTTTTTCAACAATCATTTTTATATGTTAATGATAACAGTTATTATGTATATATTTACAGGACTTCCACAACATGAAGGAAAAATTACCTTTGTACCTACATTGCCCTTAGTTTCAACCAATGATTTACCGTGGCTTATTGGAACAAATGATGCAAGAAAAGCAAGATTCAAGTTTTGGAAGCGAACTTTAGAAAGATCAAAAGACCTTAAATGGATCTTGGTGAATTCCTTTCCCTATGAAACCAAAGTTAAGCATCAAAATGTATTATTTATAGGCCCTATTTGTAGGCCTCAAAAACTCACTAAAACTCTAAGTTTTTGGGATGAAGATTTAACTTGTTTGAAGTGGCTCGCAAACCAAAAGGCTAATTCAGTTGTTTACATCTCATTTGGAAGTTGGGTCAACCCAATAGGAGAATCCAATTTGAAAAAACTAGCTCTAGCTCTTGAGGCTACAATGAGACCTTTCATTTGGGTCTTGAGGTCCACTTGGCATCAAGGGTTACCAATTGGGTTTTTGGAGAGAGTTTTCAAGCAAGGTAAAGGCATGGTTGTGTGTTGGGCTCCACAGACAAAGATTTTAGAGCATGATTCAGTTGGTTGTTTTATTACACATTGCGGTTGGAATTCTACGTTGGAGGCTTTACAATTTCGAAAAAAGATGCTGTGCTACCCTTTGGCCGGAGACCAGTTTCTGAACTGTGCTTATATTGTTGAGGTATGGAGAGTTGGGTTAAGATTGAATGGGGTTGGTTTAAAAGATGTTGAAGAAGGGCTTGAAAAGGTGATGGAAGATGAGGAAATGAGTAACCGATTAGATACATTATATGAAAGGTTCATGGGAATACATGCATGTGATGATAAGAGTGGACATTTTGTTTTGAAAGAAATGCTTAAGAAAGCATCTATAATTCATGAAAATTCTAGTTAAGTGTATGAGAATTAATTAGTAGTAAGAATACAATGAGTCTGCTTTAGAAAACTCTTTGATTGCGTTTACAATTATACAGTTTCACACTTTTTACAACACTTTCATTTTCATATTCATTTTAACATAGGCCCTTGTTTGATACATGTCCAATTAACCTGTTAGTAGCAGACTCCTGAGACCATTGAGATTTTGAGATGATTTGCAGTTCAAACCTAAGGCCTAAACCATTCATTCATTCTCATAGGCATCCCTACAAACCACATTTATGAATGATTGAATTGAATAACTCCAACAAGATATAGATAATAACCATTCAGTTTCACAAATCCTTGTTCTCCGCATAAATTTGCATGGTCCATACATGATAACAGTAAGCAGTAAATGGCCAAAATCCCCCACCATTCATTTTTCAAACGTTACAATCTCACCTCACTTTCATTATCACATACCATGATAGTACTAGTGATAATTTGGGAAAAGAAAGGTGATTAAATGTAATATTAATACTGTATATTATGAATTATTGAAATTTGGTGTTTGTTTCCTAGTCTTGTTCCTATATACTACTATAAATAACATGTATATCAAACTACAGTTCAAAACTGAGCCACCTGTGCTCCAAGATGAAGAAAGCATAGGTGATTTTCATCCCTTCTCCCGGCGTAGGCCATTTAGTTTCAACTCTCAAGTTCGTGAAGCTTCTAATTGATAGGATGCAAAACTAGAACCCTAACAAGATTAGAGAAAGCTAGAAAATAAAAGATAACTAAAAAAAATAAACTTCATTTCATTTGATTGATTCTCCTCAAATGTCTACATTATATAATACTTTTAATGGATAATAATCCTAAAAACCCAAATACTACTAAGAGCCCAATAACAACACTAGCTAATAATATAAAGGACTTACTAAATTAATATTCTAACTTAATATAACTCATAATTCACTTTCTATCATTGCTGTCGGATCCACTTGAACGTTGTCCTCAAGGTTCTAAAATCAATATGAGACTAGAAATATTTTTCCGAGATCCCATTGCTTGAATAAAATCAAGCTATTGAACTTTTCACCATGATTTTCCTTCAGCAATTTGAACAACTCTTTCTTCAAAATCTGGTTGGACAGTGCATATGAAAAAGGAGGATCTTTGCTCCACCTAGTGAAGTAACCATGTTCTGCAAAGAGACCAAGTTTGTCATAGGGAGAAAACCACTTGCTAAGGCATTCTCTATCCTTGCCACTAACAATGAAAACTACATTTTTGGGATCACTACATAAGCTATTCAAGAGAGAGATAACATCCAAGCTAGGGGTTTTGTCTAGTGATCACTGAGGCATCATGGTACCATCATAATCCAAAAGGATCAACCTACTCTACGTATCTCTATAAGCAGAGACAATGTAATCAACAAAAGCTTCTTAAAACTAGGATCTGAAGCAATGATTCTAAAATTGAGTCCTAATCCAACATCCAACCACTTCTTCACATAATGCTCCCTACAAGCTCTCTCCAAATCTTGATCAAAACTCTTAGCCCAATAAGCTACATCAGGAGAGCTTATATACTTATAATTCTTCTCATGTCTCAATTGCTTCTCCGCATCCGCCATTCAAATTGCTGATTTCATTGCTTCACAAACATATATTCCACAGATTCACCCGAATCGCGCAACTGAGCAAAGGAGGACAACCAATGAACTCAGAAACAATGATAACACTCTTTTTAGCCTCATCATTTTCCACCCCCAGTGCTTTGTCCAATTCAACACTTCCTTGTCTGCTAACAGTATACTCATAAGGCATCAAATTCATCTCATCCCTTAAAGCTGTGACAATAACACATTTGACAAGGCTGTGATATGCAACTTTTTCAGTAATTGGAACCGCCCTATCAATAAAAACAATAGGTTCATAACCAGGTCGGCTAAACACTCTGTTGATCCTGGTGTAGCTTTCTTGTATTTCGGCAAGTACTTCCTCTACATGTATCCCTTTACCGCTAGTTGGATTAACTATCTGTACTAAAACAGCTCTTCCTTGCCATTTGGGGTGTTGTTTAAGCATCTGCTCCATCACCAAAATCTTCAAATTTATGCCTTTAAAAATGTCCAAGTCGTCAAACCAAGCGAAATGGTTTTCCCTTCAAATTTCTGTTTGAGCTCCCTTGCCTTACACTCCTCATCAGCCATTTTCATTACAGATTCAATCTGACCCATATGAATCCCCACAAGCATGATCTTAATACTGATAGTCCCCTCGTAATATTCCAATCCTAAATAGCTCCTCTTTGACCGATACTCTAGACCCAACATACGACTGCAACAGGAAAGGAAATGACGAGCATTGTCAAAAGTATGGAATCCAATGATATCAGAATTTAGTAAAGCTTTCAGTATCTCTTCACCGACTGCCTCAACGATGTCAGCTTCCGACCTTATCTGAGTAGGTGCATCACTACAGTTTCTTTCAAAAGTTTATGAATCATACATTCGATTTTCTTCTTCGACCAACAGAGCTGATACTTTGTTACTTCTCAGATCTAAAACATTTTCATTCATCTTCCAAAACATTTCCACAGCCTCACTAGGATGCAAGCTCTGCAACAACCCCGAAATCATCACATTCCAAGAAGCAGTATCTTTGTTTGGCATTTTATCGAACACCTTCCTTGCAGTATCCAAACGACCCATTTTACAAAACATGTTAACAAGACTAGTCCCAATAAAGAGATCACCTTCGAATCCTTTAGCAGCTATATAACGGTAAACAGAAACACCCTTTTCACAAACAATTGAAGTATCTAGTGTGGCAACAAAGTCATCACGAAGGGATGGTTTACGGATTTTGGAGAATGAAATTGATTTGGAGACGAAGCCAGCACTCTCCCTTGCTTCATCAATAGCTTTAGACTGCTTCTCAATATCACCATCTTCGTTACCCGAATCAAAATCCAACTCCGAACCAGATTCCAAACCTGAAGCTTTCTCTTTGTTGTCATCGTCGTCGCCTTCGTTGTCGCTTCCTTGTAGGAAATCTTCGTTGAGTTCGAGGTGCTGTGGCGGTGCTTGAACGTAAATGCTTTTTTGATGTTATTTTGAAACAGGGAAAAGAATACGGTGTGGGTTTGGTGTTGAGAGAGAAAGGTGGTTCCCAAGGTTTTTGTCATTTTTCTTTTGAGTTTTTCTTAAAAGTTTTTCTTAAAAGAGGGATTTGATACTTCGAGATATTTCTTAAAATCTCTTCTATTTTTAGAATGGGTTTGATATTCATGATCAATTGTGAAAGATGTGTTTGTTGATTGGAGTTGCTAATGATAATTATTGTAATAATATGAATAATGAGATGATGAATATGGAATAGGGTTAGGGTTAGGTGTATGTGGTGAAAATTTATGATTTAATTATAAATTTGGTGATGATGATCCAACATGAGTGTAACAAGATGTAAAAATTTCTCATGGAAAAGATGAAAATGAGGAAGTGATTGGAGATGTAAAAGAGGGATTTGTAGGATAGGTTGGAGGAATGCTCCATGGATGATATGAAGGTGTATGATAAGTGTGATACGGTGGGAGAATTGACTTGAGGTGTTTTGCGTTTGTATTCGCACTTGTTCGGTTGAGCAAGAGTCGCCACCGACTTTTTATTTTATCCTAAAGGAAAGGTTAAAAAGCACAGCAAAAACCTTTTGAGATATTTCGTGGGTTCGGGGGGTAGATTATGAAAAGGGAATGTATTAGCACCCTTTTCATCCATGGTTATCCATGGGCTCTTAGTTACTTGGTTTTTAGATCACTTGCCTTGATTTTCGATTGCTTGAAATTGTGGTGTATGTGTGTGTTTTAAAAATGTTTTTGAAATAGACGCCTTTGTTTCGGCAACCATTACAATGACTCGTGTTTGAGTATATGCAACGGTGTGTATCTTTTCGAAAAGATGTTTCAAAATGTTTTTGGAAGTTTGTTTTGAAAGTGTTGGTGAAGTGTGGTTTTTTGAAAAGAAGGCAAGTGTTTTTTTGCAAGTTGATCTCAAGTAACTAAGAGTTTTGTCTACCCCTATTGTACTCAAAGGTTTTCTCTATGTTTTCAACCCCTTTTAACAATTTTGTTCCACCATTGAATTTGGTGGACAATCTTGCGTTTAGGATGTTTAACGGGACGGGCGCGGGTCATCGTATGGGCCATGAATGCAATGGTGCCAAGTGTCTTTGGCAATTTTGCTTGAAGGGACTTGATCATTTTGATAGGCAACTTTCGAAAGCGTCATCGAGGGACTTATGATCATTTGAATTTGCTTTGCCAAAGAAACTCGACGTGCAAGCATGACCCATTTTGGAAGGCAACATGTGGGATCACCCTAGGGGGTGCAAGTGTGATTGTGTATTGATTTCATGTATTTGTCTTTGTATTAGGTTATCTAGCGTTTGGTTTTTATGTACATGCAAACCCTAGGTCTAACCATGGTGTAATTCGAAAGCGGTAAATTGCGGGAATTTAAAGTCTACGTTATTACAAAATAAGTATCCGGGAGTGGGGGTACAAATTTACAAATGGGGATGAGACTTTAGGAATGTAGTGTTCAAATAATTTACAACCAAATTGAATCGCGATCAAATGTAAACAATGTAATGTAAAGTATAAGAATAGCAAATGTATATTGTCAAATGTAAAGTGTATTGTGTAGGTGTACGTGTACGTATATGAGTATGTAATTTATTTACAGGTTGCAGAATATGTGTATTTAAATGTATTATTAAGAGAATTATATGTTTTTGTATTATGTACAAAAAGTATTTTAATTAAAAGAAAGGAAAATGTCTTTAAATTCTATTTTTTTAGATATTAAAAAAAATAATACATTTAATTAATTATGTACAAATCAAAAGTTCTAATTTTAAGGAAAGAAAAATATTAACTTTTAAATGAGATATTATGTAATTATGTACAAATGGAACAAGAAAAATGCTTCAATTTAGGAAAGAATTAACGTTTGTATATTTTCTAAAATGTAACAATTAACAATACTTTAAAAAAAAAGAAGGTATTATTTTATTTAAAAAAGAAGAAATATTAGATATTAGTTTAAACTAAATTAATAAAAGATAAGTGAAAGAAATGTTAAATTATAAAAATAAAATGATAAAGGATTAGTTTATGTTAAAACAAAAGAAAATGGGCTAAGGGGGTGGGGGGGGGGGGGGGGGGGGGGGTTTGTTTTGGCCCAAGTGAAAAAATCATTCAGAAACATTAGAAGAAGAAAAAGGGGGGTGTGCATGGGAAAACGTTTTGGGCTTAAGCTGAGAAACGGGTTAGGCCCAATTTATTTGAAACAAAGTTTTTAGGGTTTGATGACTTGTGTTCATTAGGGAAACGGCCAGGGTTTGACATGCAGAGGCGCCGTTCGCTTGCTCTTCGTCTTCTTCGTTCCTTCCCATGCCAAATGTTTCTGAACCTCCCCAACCTTAAGCTACCAGGCGCTTCCTCCTCCTCCTCATATCCAAGGTTACGCAAGCGACGGTCACACAAGGTAATGGCTCTTTTTTTTTAAATATGAACATTTTTTAAGTTTTCAAGCTCTGTTCATGTCTTCTGATTATACGCATTGTTGTTGTTCTTTGTTTGAGGTGCGTGGAAAAAAGGGGAAAAAGGAAAATAAATACTACCTTCTTTAGCTCGTTATTTGGAGAGGAGAGGAGGTGGATCTGGAGGCGCCTAAGGTGGCTGAGGGCGGAGAAACTTGATGAGGCTGTGCTTCCTGGTACCTTTGTATTTTCACCTCTTTAGGTTTAATGATGTTGTCTGAAAGCCTTTATTTGATGATGATATGCTTGAAATGCCTTTGAGTGTATTTGATTCTTTTCCTCTTCTTTCTCTGCCTCGTTGCCTGCTTAGTATGCTTATGTTTCCTTTGAAGAAATTTTCCTGAGGCTTTGTGTTGCCTTATGTTTCGTGTGGTTTGCCTATGAAGAAATTTTTCTGAGGCTTTGTGTAGTTTGCATTGAAACAGGTCAGGTTTGTAAAAAGTCTTTGAGGTTTATGCTTCTGTTAGGCTTTATGCAGGATGATGCTTGGGAGTATTACAGTTTTTGACACAGGTTATGTGTTTTGATGCTTAGGCTTTAGGCTGGACAGTTTTGTCTAGTTTGAATGTTATGGTCTTGCAGGTTTGTTATGGACAGTGGTTTACTGGTTTATGCTTCAGGCAGGTTGAGGGCTTATGATGAGTTTTCTGGTTTTGGAGCTTGACAGGTTAAGTTGGCTTGATGCTTGAGTAGGTTAATGATTTGTTTAGGCTTCTGGCTGGACCGTTTTGTGGTTAGGTTTTATATCCAGGTTTGTATGGTTAAGCTTGGTGCTTCTGTTTGTGTTGCATAGTCTTGATGCTTTGTGGTTTAGACTAGCAGGTTTATGGCTTTGACACGGTTTTTGCTGTTAAGCTTGAGGCCTGAAGGTTTTTTGACAGGTTATGGGGCTTATGTTTTGTCTTGCTTTAGCAGGGTGGAGGCAGTTTTTGAGTTATATCTTTTTCTTGTGATTTCTGCCCCCTTTTCTACTGTTCTATTGCAGTTAGTTTTATATCATTTGTTTCTTCAAGCCTAAGCCCTGTAAGCCTGCTTTCTTTTCTCTATTTCTTCTCTCTCCAGTACAGCTTTAAGCATTTTAAAATGTTTATGCTTGTACTTTTACTGAAAAGGTGACACTGGAAAATGATGATTTGACTGTGCTTGCTTGCAAAACTAGTTTTAGCCTGCATATTTTCTTTCTCTTTTCCATACTTTGTGCTGCATCTTGTACCTTTTGATACTTTGATATCTTTCCATACTTTTGGACATTTTGACAGCTTTTGGCCTAGTTTGAATATGAACTCAGTTTGGGACTTTGTGGTTCAATTTGGATTTGGACTTTGTAGTGCTGTCTTGCTTTGAACTATGCAGTTTTTTGACAAACTTGAACTTGTGCCTTTTTTTAATTCTGTGCATTCCAAGTTTAGCAAGCAAATATTCATCCCTCTTTGTGAACCGGGAGAAATCCCGTGATTTGCAGAGAGGGCTAACTGATTCCAGTCAGTTGCCCTTAATGATGAACCCAAACTTTAATTGTCTGCTTTTAATTATTTATCTGCTTCTAACTTTTCTTCTTTTCTTTTGCAGATAAAAATTGAATTGAGAGGATTTAGCAACAGATGAAGAATGAAGAATTGAAGATTTAGAAAAAATTAGGTTAGTCTTATTTTAAATTTAATTATTGTAACTATTATTATTATAAATACCGTGTAAATGAATACTTGTATTTACATAATAATTTGTAACAAATATTTAAAGATGAAATAAATTTTTTTTTTATCCAATTAATTCTTTTTATCCTTTTCAATTATTTATTTTATTATTTATAATTCTAAAATTATAATAAATGGAAATAAATTCCAATTATCTAAACTCAGAATAATAAACAATTAAATAAACAATGTTTCAGCATCGATCAACTAATAAACCTGGCGTTTCACAAATCCAAAGCAAAGCACAGTCAAACACAGCAACTGTCCAGACGTATTTTCCTTTTACTGACTTTAATCAAACACTGCAAATTCAAACCCAATGCATCCTTTCACTGATTTAGTCACACAAGGCGAATTCAATCCAAATCTCGGAATAACTTGCAAAGCACCGTAGAATCAAATCTTTCTGAGGAACCGCGCATAAAAACCCTAATTCCTGATTAAATGCCAAAGAACGTTCGCCTGATCAAAGTTGAGCCAAAATCAACCAAAACCCTAAGCAAACTGTGTGAACTGTTCTAAACCCCTCAAAACTAAAGAAAACCCTAATTTTGTATGACTGTCGAGAAAAGTCTGTTTGACCGATTCTTGAGCCAGTTTGAAAAATCAGGAAAAGCCTGAAGCTGTGATTTCTTGTGGAAAATGCGAGGGCAAATTTTGGGGTACAACAGTTGCCCCTGTTCAATCTTCTTGAACCTGAAGAGTTAGATTGGCAAGTTTGCCTTTCGCGACTCGAAGGTAAAAGAAGATTGGACACTAAAGTACCCAGAAAATTTGCACTCGGCGATGTGATGGTAGAGGTGAATGGGCTTACAGATGCCATCTGAGAATGCCGATAGGAGGATGGGCTTAAAGATGCCATCTGAAAATGTTGAACTGGAGGATGGGCTTATAGATGCCATCAGGAAATGATTGTCTGAACTGCAGGTCGCTGATGAGTGGACGAGTATCAGAAAGGTATCCATGTTTTGGAACATCTCTGAACTGGGGGTCTGA